ATGCTAATAATAATAATAATTTGCTTTATTCCAAAACAGTACTTGTGATACAGAATGGAATTCTCAGCATTTTTACTACAGTATTGCATCCAGTTAGTAGATTAACAATAAATAAAATTCGACATAGATTATGGATCATCTCAGTTAGTTCTGATAACAACATGTCGGTAGCAAAGCCAAAAGTGAACAGAATGTCTGAAGGTGTTAGAAAAGTAGATTCTAGCATATTTACTGGCGTAAGCGGTAACAAAAAGGTCGAGATAGGCAGAGTGTGAAAGATCGAGGAAGAATGTTTTAAGTAGAGTTTGTAAGGAAGAGTAAAACAAAAGAGCACAACAAAAAAGAGAAAAGAAAGAAAACGTTGTACCTATAAATGATATGAGTTGAAAAGACGAGATCCAGTTGTTCTACTGACTTTTTATTCAGTTATAACTTTCACGCCTAATGCTTTCTTTATTGCACAGAACACGAGCTGAGTAGGGAATGGATGAGTTTATGTACTTATTATTGCGAGCATACAGTTTTCTATATAGGCTTCTGGTCTGGTCTGGCCTCATGAGATACAAGGGGAGAGTTGTGAATGAAGAGGGTGGTGTGAATTAGATAGAATGGATTTAGCCAGTTTTTCACATGAGTTCATGTGCCTGTCGACCAGAATATTAACAAGCTGGTTAAGTGGCACATAGCTTACCCTGCTGACAACCTATAACATCCTGCGTAATAAGGTATAGTCTTTCTTCAGTAACCCTGGAAAAACTAAGGGGGAGCAATAGAGAATAATGGGCAGGATGCAAGAGTTAACGAATTGTAGGAGTAAGGGTTGGGTTATGCCAGAATGTCTTAACTTCTTGATGTAGAAGAAGGTAAGACGGAATATTTTCTTAGAAATTATCAAGATATGAGACGACCAGGAAAGATCAGCAGGTAGAATGACTCCAAGAAATTTAATTTCCGACTTGGTTTCTATTTCGGTGTCATCATCTATGTTGCACACGTCGTGAGCACTAACCAGTTTGTTTAGGTCAGATTTATTCCTAAAGGTGAAATTGACTGTTTGACATTTAGAGGGATTTAAGGTAAGACCACTTTCCTTGGACCACTGGTTGATTTCAGATAAAAAGCGATTTAGTTTGGAGCAGTCACTTTGACACTTGACAGGCAAAGATACAGTCAGGTCGTCAGCTTATTTAACAAAATTAATGTCATTTGAAGATGGTGAGTCATGTAGAAAGAAAGAAAAGAGAAGTGGGGAGAGTACAGCACCTACCCCTGCGAACCGTGGCGAAGAAGTCCGGGTGACGAGTCCCAAATAGGACGAAACGCGCATCCTGGATTCCACTGCTAGTCACCATCCACAAATTATGTAGTCGAAGAATCCCCTGAAACCCTTAAGGTGATGACGCATCCAGTCTTTGTAATCTCCTATATCCAAGTTACTCTGTGTTACCCTTGCACACTATTTACTTTTTTATTCAATACACCAAACCTGGTACAATATAAGTACCAACGAGAAGATGCACCACACAATAATGACAATAAAACAACAACATATGAAGAAAAAAATTGGTAGAGGATGAATAAAGGACTTCATCCGGAGAGGAAACAGCTATATTTCATCGTGAGCTGACATTGGTTAGAGAACCATTGGAAAACCTGCACAGAGTACCGGACAACTGTTTCGCCCTAGTTTGGGACTCGTAATCAGTACGCCCCCACTACAACCGGGTTCGAACCCAGGACCTTCTGGTTACAAGCTAAGTGACCTACCTCGTAAACCATTAAGCCACTGGGACCCGATCCAATGACCAGTCCATGAATTCTAACTTCTTCCAATTCACGACATAGCGCTACCCCTAGCCAATGTCTTCGGTGGCGAGTATTTGTCCTCACACTCGACCTTCTGTATCCTATTCGTCACGACTTCCCAACCTGAATAGGGCAAGTCGCCAGTGAGCATCTCATTGATATTCAAGTGTTGGTTTGTAGGGATTTGATTGGTTACAGAATTCCATCATGAGCTGACATTGGTTGGAGAACCATTGGAAAACCAACATGGAGTACTGGACAGCCGTTTCGTCCGTCCTATTTTGGGACTCTTCATCAGTACGCACACACCGGGGTCGGTTGTGAGGACAAATACTCGCCACAGATGATACTGGCTAGCGGTCGCGCTACGTCATGAATTGGAAGAAGTCAGGATTCATAGACTGGTCATTGGATCGGGTTCCAGTGGCTTAATGGTCTACGAGCTAGCTCGCTGGGCTTGTAACCAGAAGGTCCTGAGTTCGAACCCAGTTGTGGTGGGTGCGTACTGATGAAGAGTCCCAAACTGTGACTGAGGGAAAAGTTGTCCAGTACTCCCTGTTGGTTTTCTAATGGTTCCCTAACTAATGTCAGCTCATGATGAAATCCTGTAACTAACCAATTAAATCCCTACAAACCAACACTTGAAACAGCTATGTCTTTAACAAGACCAAACAACATTTGTCGAATTATTGTCATAAACGGAAGAAAGAAGGAAATTGCAGCACGTTCATCATTAATTACGATTCTTGACTATATCCAATAAAGTTTGGAGCCACTGATTCGATCTATCTTTGGAACACCAACTGGGGAGTTGTGATATACCAACAGATGCTAACCTAACAAAAGCATCCTTCATCCCATGATGTGCCACGACATGGGCTGACCACCTCTCCGACTTTATTTACCATCCCATCCCAGGGCTAATGAACAGAGATTAATAAGGACACTTCTGAGGTGATATTTCGTAGCACATCTCCAAGCTACCGGAATCGGTGTTTCTAGATGACAACACTCATTGTGAATGATCTCCACTATATTCATACACACGCTGTCGGACCTCAGGATTACCCACACAATGATACCATCGAAGGTAACAATTCTACTGAGAGACAGGGATGATAGAGTCACGCTGTGTCACCGAACATCCTCATTTCCAAGAGGCGAGGTTTTTCGTGGACGTGGAGAGAGAGAGAGAGCAAGACTGCTCACATTGAAGCATTGTAAACCCAATCTTTGACAGCCAGAGGTGTCTCAAATTGACGTATACCACCACCCTAGATAGCTTTCATGATACAATTAGAAATGTCGTCCGTCACACCTCCGTCAGCACTCACACTTATCTACAACTTCAAGTATTTCACGTGGAAGAGTGAGTGCAGGAATATAGGCTCCTGCCAGTCTTGTAACAGTGCGCAAAGCACGGTGCGTCATACTTGCAGACATTGGGCATGGAGTGTGTGGCAACTTTAGCTGTTGTACTTCTGAGCAGATTTCTATGGTGAAACTCAGTTTCAATCAGTCATTATGATGATAAATTGGTTCATAGGTGTGCATATTTCTCTTTCTGAAACCTTCATTATTAATAAAATAAAAGACAGATTCAGCGAAGAAAATTTTCTTTATCAACGAAATCATCTTCAGAGGCTGGCTGTACTGTCGTATTTATACTTACACAAAATATTATTGAGTAACAGAGGAGGGGTTGACATAATTGATATAATTACTCGGAAGTGGCTTTAGAAGTAAAAATTAAAAGTTGTAAATTACATGGTACTCAACGATGGGACAAAGATAGAAATGTGATAAGGTTAAAATTGCTATTGAGTGAGAATAAAGGCATTTGAGTGTCAATTTAACAAGTCTCAGGAGGGTGTGAAATGTACAGATGGAGCATTTGAGAGCAATAATAGTGAATTAATTATTAAAACAAAAACAAACTAAAAGTAAAATTAAAAAAGAAAAGAAAAAATCGAAAGTTTTTACAGGGAATGACTAGTGAAGAGTTTCAGACCATGGTAGAATAAGAGACTGGACAAACTTTTTCTGTATACAGAGTTCGAGGTTGTATTGACGAATCGCCAGAGCCTCTGCCATTCACAAAAGCCGAAACCTTACGCCCTTTGAACCATTTGGCTTCACTTTGTAGATGATCTTGAAAGACGACTCTGGTGAAGCTTCGTGGCCAGAGTTCACCAAATGCTCGAGAATTAAGCTAGTAATCGTCTTGCATTGTCTCTTTGCTAACCATTCCGGATAATGTTCAGAGATGCGTTTGGAAAGCGTGCGTTTTGTGTGTGCGGCCAATATAATTAGCTCCATACGAGCAGGTGAATTTATAAGCATACATTGAGGTGGTTCGTCCAAAGCGGCAGTTTATCCTTCACAAATCATCTATTGATCATTTGTCGGCTGTAGAAATTGATACGTAGCTCAGCCAGCCATAAAGGAGGCTTTCCCCAGTGATCTGCATAAGGGATTCTTCAGGATCTCAGCTGCGGTATCACCTTTAAACTCAACACTCATAAATAGCAGTTTCTTCGTCACCGTCTGCGTTCTTTCAGTCTTTTCCCCTAACTTCATGTTTTTCTCGATAAATCTGGAGGGTATCCATTCTCTATGAGGACTTGTCTGAGTCGCCCCAGTTTCGTAATTTACAACTTTTAATTTTCACTTCTAAAGCCACTTCTGAGTAATTATATCAATTATGTCACCCCTTCCCTTTATTACTTAATAATAAAGCACTATATACATATTGTGTAAGTATAAATACGACTGTACGGCCAGCCTCTAAAGATGATTTCGTCTACAGGGAATATTTTCTTCGCTGGATCTGTCTTTTGTTTTATTCATGACCTTCATTATTGTTTCCCCGTGTGCGTCGGTGGCACAGAAGTTAGGACGCTCGCCGACCCTAAAGATGTTTCTGGGTTCTATCCCCAGCCGGCGCACTACTTTACCTCGCTAAGTCAGTAGTGAGACTAGTAAAGCGGAAAGGTTGGGCATGAGGCTAGCAACCCCATCCTGTAAAATGAAACACTACTACAGAAACTTCAAACCTTTAGCTTGAAACCCTATGTTCCACTGGGAACGTGAAGGAAAAAATAATAATTGTTTCCCTGTTATGTTGTATTCCGATCAAGGTTAATAATTTTACGCATTAATTGTAGTATTTCGTTTCTTCTTTCTTTCCTTAGCATCAGTCAATAATTGGCGGTAAACGCTGGTCGTCAACCTCTGAATCACAACGTTATCCATCATATAATAATGCCTATAATCCTTATCCACCATTGGTAAATTACCCAGCTGGACAACCATCAATACAACATTCCAATTTACGATCGAAATTAGACAATACCGATCCATGCATACATCCCATGAATAGTCATCGTATTCTTCATCCTCCACAAAATAATAACAGTAATAATATTAATAATAACCACTATGGACAATATTTTTCAAATCATCCCCTTCCTGCTCCTACTCCAGCTCCTGTACCGCCATCGCTGCCACTGCCGCCGTCTTCTACTTCTCAGGTTTCACAATATTATTCATCATCATCATCAAATTCTCTTCATTATTATTATCATCAGCCCCAACAGCCTCGTTGTCCTTCAAGTCAATATTCACAATTTCATCAACCGCCACCGCTGCCGTCGACAACACAATATGATGAAAATTACCACCATCCAGTTAGTGGTGATGGTGGTGGTGGTGATAATAATAGACGACTACCATTCCCTAATGAGGAGAACAAACTATCTATTAGGCCAGGAAGTGTTCGACCACCACCAATAAATAATAATACAACAAATCATGGTGAATTCATTAGCGCGAATAATTGGTCATCCCCACCCCCGCCATCATTGGAGAAAACTTCTGTCTATGCAGAAGAAAATCAACAAGGTATTATCGGTGCTAATAATCACAATATTGTTCGACATGGGATCAATAATTCTGGTTTATTAGCAGGAGGAGACAGCAGCACCAGTGGTGGTGGTGGTGCCGCTGCTGCTGGTAGTGGATATTCCTCTTTTTATCCTTCTGATACAAATCTAGATAATCGTCAACAACAGCAGTACTCATGGAATTTGCCTCCACAGAATGGATGTTTTAATTCAAATGCTTCTATAGAACAACAAGCAATTGGTGCTGGTGCAACATCAGAAGATCATATTCGTGTGAGTTCGTGTTTATTTTATTTTTTTTTTGCAATTTTCATTTTTGGGTTCTTAGTGAAAAATATAAGGCTTCAAGATGGGAGCAGTGGAGTTGCTAGCCTCGAGTGAATGTTTGCCGCTTTTTAGAACCTAATTGTGATGGCTCCATTGTAGATAAGATTTTATTTTGATAAAATCACACAGTGTAGTGTTATACAGTATTAATAACTGATGACCACGATTCGAGCACAAATTATTGCCACTCATAATCATATCAAGTCACTCACTCACACAAATTTTTTCCTTCATTTATGTACATGAGTGGAATCGATTAGATATTGGAATAAAAATCAATATGGGATAATGTACATTCAGAAATAATAATAATATGAGTGTTATTGATCAAATAAAATCAGATGGGAAATAAGTTACAAAATAAGTTACAAGTTACTTATTTTGACTATAAGAACACTCGTCTTATTTCCCATCTGATTGTAACTGATCAGTAACACTCTGAATGTACATTATCCTATATTGATTCTTATTCAAATGTGTAATCATCAATTTCTCTCATGTATATAAATGAAGGAAAAAGTTGTGTGAGTGAGTGACTTGATATGATTATGAGTGGCAATAGTTTGTTCTCGAAACGTGGTTATCAGTTAATATTACTGTATAACACCACTGTGTGAGATTTATCAAAATAAAATCTTATCTACAATGGAGTTATACTCTATCAGCACAGTGGCCGAGTTTTATACCTGTATCAATAATCTCCCAAATTAGGCTAATCTAACACCCTAACGTGTCCCAAGACTGGATTTAATCGCAATCTACTCATTGATCCAACCTAAAAGTAACCAAGACATCTTGTTTATACATTTATTCCCCTTAATGAAAATTTGAATAAAGCAGGAACTACAGTTTTAGCAGAATAAACTGATACCATCTTTTATTTCGTTGCCTTCTCGTCAGCTGCTTACATGGCAAAGACATTATTAAATATATCTACAAAAACAATTTTAACATACTTGCACAGCGTTCAGTTTAAACAAAAATCAATCGATCAGTATATGCATACAGCATATGTAATATTAAACACTATTCCGAACAACTAATAATCACACACAATGGAAACCTTTAGCATTTCGCATTCGGAGGAAAGAGAGGTGAAATTATCCAGTTACCAGGGCAAAGAAAGGCTGATAACCGCTTCTTTCTGGACGCATAAATCAGGTTTCAGGCGCTTGATAGAAATGGCTTCAGCAAACTTAAGGAGAATTGAGCTATTTTGCTTATTGGTAATTTTGAATGACTTTTCGACGTCCACCTCATGACCCGTGTCGAGAAGATGCCTGGTGATGGCACTGTTTAAAGCATTTGTTCCCTTTAGACGTAAGCTTTTTGGTACATGTTCAGAAAATCGTAGATATGCCCTTCTTTCTGTCCTTCCAATGTAACTGCTCCCGCAGATACATGTAAATTTGTATACACAGTTGGAGGTAACATGAGAAGGATATCTATCGATTTCTGATTGCACCAAAGAGCAAGTTGTTCGATAGACGGGAACGAGCTTAGCTGCAGGATACGCTATGGCTAGTGATGTACTCAGCCTTCTGTTGATCATCGCTGCAATATTTTCACCTTTATAATCAAGCTGAAGGTAGACTGGCTTTTTTTCCACTGTGATTTGTTTTACTTTTGTGACTTCAGATCTTCCATACTTGTTGATGAACCTTTGAGGATACCCATTTCTCTTCAATATATTTTCAAGGAACTCAAACTCCTCCTCTAGTTTCTCTGTAGAGCATATTCTCCTCGCTCTATAGTACAAAGTTTTGACTAGACCACGTTTAAAGCTATGTGGACAAAAGCTATTAAAATGCAAGTATTGTCCTTTCCATGTGGGCTTTCGATAAATTAACTTTTGAAGACTACCGTCTTCTAGGCGTTCCATGGCTATGTCGAGGAAGTGAAACTTTCTTGTTTAGACATGCTTACATATCGTTCAACAGAATCTTTTTTCATGAATTTAGTGCTATTCACCTAGTTTGATTAAAATGTTCGGCCCTAATAATAGAGAAGATTTGTAGCTCAGGTGGATGATTTGCAATTAATAGTGTTCTCTGAGCTGGTTGGTTTAGCTGCGGGGTTTCGTCGTCCACCTTTCTGGACAACATCTCCCCTAAGCGCAATATTTAACATAAAGTGAACTGATTTAAATTTTTCATGAGTGATAGAATTGGGTCCGCCGGTGACCATCTTTACACATGTATTGACCATTTTCTATTGACTTAGATTTCAAGCTTTCTGGTCACCTGATTTACTTTTTATTAATTGGTGGTATATTTCGTCTATATATTAACATGTTTGTTAATTGCATATTCGTCGTTTGAGTACCAGGCTTCTAGGAATTCCCTGACTGCACTTTCGGTGTCTCCTCTGTCTAAGATTTCGACATTGATCCCAATCAAACTGATGTCCATAATTGTCTATTTGCATTGATATGATATATCGTGTCTTTTCACGGCTGATTTGTGTTCCTGGATTCTGATTCGAAGGGGACGCCCGCTTTGGCCGATGTAATGCCTGTCACAGTTCATGAAATTTATTTTGTAAATGGTATTAATTTTGTCTCCTTTTTCTGTTGGATCTTTTGGTTTGCATAATATCGAATTAAGTGGTTTGACTGGCTTGTGTGCTATATCTACATCAAACGGTTTCAGTATTGTAGCTGTTATTTCAGAGACATGCAATTAACAAACACGTTAATATAGACCAAATATACCAACTAATAAAAAGTAAATCAGGTGATCAGAACGATTAAAATCCAAGTCAATAGAAAATGATCAATACGTATATCATGAAGATGGTTACCGGGAGACGCAATTATATCACTCATGAAGAAAATTTAAATCATTCCACTTTATGCTAAATATTGCGCCGAAGGGGGCATGTTGTCCAGAAAGGTGGATGACGAAAGCTCCGCAACTAAACCAACCAGCTCAGAGAACACTATTAATTGCAAATCATCCACCTGAGCTACAAATCTTCTCTATTATTAGGGCGTTTGTTTAAGTGGCTATTCTCTAACCCTGCCACTATTATTTTCACATTGCCTAGGTGTGTGTGTGTATGTGCGTCTAAAGGAATATTTTGAGAGTGGTGATGTTAAACAAATGTGTTGTACTGTCATTATTGCAGTCATTGCGCTCAAAATCATTGAGTAATGATGTTTGTGTTAGAGGATAGGTAGGTGGTGAATGAGAGTTGTCTATCGATAATTCTGTCTTAAACCTGTGGAAGAGTGTATTGTTCTTGGAGCATTTGAAACAGAAGGAGTGTAAGTTTTCCATGACTGCAGAACCAAAAGAGACAACTGTTTGAGGCCGATCACACACACAGGGATGTTTGAATCGGCTTTTAGAGTTGTGCTCATAGTTAAGATCTTACCTCCGGTTACGGGCCGACTGTCGTATGATGATGGTAGTTCGGGATGTAGGATTTTCGAGGTTCATCTTTTTAACTCATCCTCTCTTGAGGTAGGGGGGAGAGAGAGAGCGGAAAAACAGTACAAGTAACTTGCTGATCATCTGAGGGAAACACATTACTTTTGTTACATTCCTATTTACCAGCATTATCTATGACTTCGCCCAAAGACTCTCTTAATATACTGTTAAGTTGACGTACACCATAAGCGTAACTGCTTTAAGTATAATCGCTGTCCAAACCACCTTTCTATTTATTTATTTTTATTTTTGATTACAGCTTGATTTCACACTGTATTTTTGGTACAAGTATGGAATTGTCAGCATGGATATCGGTAGCCCAAATTTTACAAGCTGACCATAGATATCAGGTGTGCGTCGGCAAGGAATCGAACCTTGGACCATTTCCATGGTCGGTGAGAGTCCTGGTATGCTATGACCTTTAGGAACATTACTTCCACCTAATGTGCGTCAATACAATATGCACAGCTGACTATCATGTCAAGGTAGCAGCTATCTGTCGGCACATTAGACGGATATCAGGAACCCTATGTTGGATTCTCCATAAGACAGGAATTAGGATAGCATTCAAATCTATAGATTCATTCAGAGTAAAGCTGTCTAGTAGGAAGCTAAAGGATCCTAGTTCCCTCCCCCCCCGTACAAGAAAAGCATAATAGAGACAATAAGCAGAGATGTGAGACAAAGGAGGAGTAATACGAAGAACAAAACAGTTTCATTGGAAATCATAAGTCACAAGGAGTGGATGCATCTGCGCCACTGAGAACGATTTTGAGCCATGTCACCAATTGTTTCCAACCATAGATTTTTACCGTCCCGAGGACCCCAGCCTGGAAGTCTACACCTTCCTACGTGGCTTAGACCAACTGTTGTGGATTTCATTGACTGGTGCCAAGTTTTTGTTTGACCGCCGCTAGCTTTTTTCCAGCCTGACCCTATATCCGCTAACATTGCTCGTCGAGGAAGGCGATGACTTGGCATACGTAACACATGTCCTAACCATCTCAGTCTTTGTAGCTTCACGACTTCGTCGATTGATTTCCCCTGTTTACCTAGAACTCTACGCCTAACCTCAATGTTGCTCACCTTATTATGCCACTTTACACGGGAAATAGAACGCAGGCACCTATGATCAAAGACAGCTAGTCTTTTCATGTCTTCCACTCTCAGTGGCCAGGTCTCACAACCATAAAGGAGGACGGAGCGGACTGATGAGCAGTACACCCGCCCTTTGGTCGATAGTCGAACATCTCGTCTACGCCAGAGTCGGCGTAAACTGGCAAATGCGAAACGAGCCCCTTGTATTCGTGCTGAGATTTCGTCAGAGATCAACCCGTTGGGGCTGATGGTACTTCCCAAATAAGTGAAGCGGTCAACGTGCTCTACCACTTCACTTCCTATTTTTAAACTAGGCGTCGATGTAGTCCAGTCCTGTAACATCATCTTGCATTTGGCGGGAGCGAATCGCATGCCAAACATTCGTAGATTGCTGCTCAAGGTGTTTAGAAGACT